AAAAAAAAAGCATGAATGAATGAATGAGCGTCCCACTGCTGGTGCCTCCTCTTAAGAAGGCTAGAGTGTGGTACCCTGGACAGACCCTATGGAGTAACTGGATCTATATTTCATGGCAAGAAAGCTCTGAGAGAATTTTATATATTCCTATAATGGAAGACGTGTTATAATCGAAGTGCTCTCCTATGGTGAAGTACAGTGATTGCGAACTCGGCTGAACCCTTATTGCTGGATACAAACCCCACTTCTACCACTGACAAGCTGTGTGATTTGGGGCAAAATACTTAACATCTCTCAGCCTCAGCTTCCTCACTGTCAAATGGGTGGAGTAATAGTCCCCACATTGCAGAGCTGTTATGAGGAATAAAAGGTACCTCGTATATAATCAGTGCTCAGTAAATGGTTCATATTATTATCACAATCTACGTTATAATTATTTTTATATGTTTTTTCTGTACCTTATAAACTTTTTCAAAGCAAGGATGTGTCCTATTTATTTTTGTGCCCTTGCTGCCCATCTCAGAGAGAGGAAAGTGGGTGGCACATAGCAAATCTTTAGTACATGTTTGAAGCAGGGTTGAATAATCTGCTTTATTTTATTATCTAATAAATTCTTGCCTAGGTTAGAAGGATATGGCTGGTGAAAAAAGTGTTTGGGGACCAATACCATATTTGTCTACTCAGAGTAATAACATTTTACAAAAATGTAATGTATTTATATGGAAAGAAAGCCATAAGGTGTTAATAGTAGCGGGATTGTCTACTTTTCAGATTTTCTGCACTTGACATATATAACTTTTTCCATTAGAAAAATACTTAGTCTTTTTAAAAAAAATCTGCTTGGAAAAAGAGCAGAGGATACAGTAGAAGAGAAAGGAATGAGATGCATATTAGTAAGTTTGATTTCCCAATAAGTTTTGTTCATTATGCCTTCCAAAAAACAGTGACCTAATAAAATTGAGTTTGAAAGTTCTTAATAAATTAATATATTCTGATAAATCTCTAAGAAGGAATAGAGGCAAAATCTTTGAGAAAATGCATAACCAATGATCATCTGAGCAAAGAACACCATCTTTCATGAAGTAAACAGCATGCAGCTGTTTCCATCATGCTGACTCTAAGAAGATTATTATACTCAGAATGGAAATTCCAGGAACCTGCATTCTAATTAACATGGAAATGAAATCCACAAAATAAATATGTATCCAAAGTTTATGCAGTCCCAGGATACAATGGAGACAGATGCAGATTGATCTAATCTGGTTGCATTAGGAAGAGGAACATGTGTCGGAGAACATCACGTGGAAAGTTGACTTTCGATCTAATTAGGAAGGGCAAGGTAAAATTGATGAAAGCAATTTCCTTTGTCCAGTTAAATTAGGCACCCAAATAACAGGCTGCTCTTTGACTTTCCTGGGAAGGGGAAGATGGCTTCTAATGGTCATTACATAAATAGCCAGCTTACTTTTGCAATTGCTTAATAAGTAGGACTTAGGGAAATATATTCCAGACTGAAAATCAGCCAAGGAAGAATCTGTAAGAATTTCTCTAATGTATTCTTATTGTTTCTATTTATCAATTTTTAATTTGGAGAAACGAAGGACTGGTAAGAGCACCAGACCAAACCAAATGTGGGGTCTATGAAACAAAATTAAGAGGTCGCTTTCTGCTTCTTGCTAATTTATGTTGCAGCTGCTAAAGAAAGGAGATTTTTTAAAAAAATAGCTGCTGTGAGTGCTTCTCCAAGATCCCACTTGAAATAGCTGAGGAGCATCCTTTGCATTTGTAAAGAAATATGATTTCTTAATTAGATTGGTGACTTAACGGGACTAGAGCTTAAGGACGCTCTTGATTCTGTCCTAGGTTATAATTCCCAGCTACTGCTACTTACAGCAATGGACATACTGCTATTTTATCCAACAGCCCATGCCGCAAGTGTTTGGAAGTGAAATCAGATCTCTTTTCTTGCTCATTAAATTCCAGGTTGCCATGATAAAAGCTGATTATAAAGACTGAATTAATAGAACAGATTTTAAGGCTATTTTCCCTTAATTCACACATCTTTTTGTTCCCACCTTCTCATTCAGATTCAGATTCACCAAATGTTTACTAAGCATTTATTATGTGCAAGCTCCATGTTGGAGATTTCATGAAACTTGACATTACCTGGCCTTATAGTTAGAGGAGATCTGAAGACATACCCAGAATGGGTGTTTTGACTCAAAATCATGGGTCCTTTGAAATACCAGTGGATTATTATCCTGGTGTGTAACTTAAGTAACACAAGAAATATTTGAAGTAATATTTTAATATAATTATCATTATTGTTATTATTATAGAAATAATACATATATATACATGACTTAAAAAATTCAAACAAAATAAAAAGGTATAAATGAAGAATAAAAGTTGCCTGTCCTTCTCCTCCCTTACTCCCAGTTTTTCTTCCACTGAAATATGGCACACTATAAAACTGACTGTAATACTGTGCAGTTCCTCATACCAAGAGATGGCATCCCCTTGAATCTGAGATGGCCTTGAGACTTACTTTAATTGATATAACACAGTGGAAGCAGCAGAGTACGAGTTCCAAATCTAGGCTTCAAGAGGACTTGCAGCTCTCTACTATGAAAACCACAATACATAGATGAAAGAAATCAAAGACGCAAATAAATGGAATTGCATCCTATGTTCATGGACTGGAAGAATTAATATGGTTAAAACGTCAATACTACCAAAAGCCATCTACAGAGAAAAGGGAACCCTTGTGCACTGTTGGTGGGATTGTAAACTGGTGCAGCCATGATGGAAAACAGTATAGAACTTCCTCAAAAAATTAAAAATAGAACTACTATATGATCCAGCAATTCCACTTCTGGGAAAATAGCCAAAGGACATGAAAACACTAACTTGAAAACATATCTGCACCCCCATGCTCATAGCAGCATTATTTACAATAGCCAAGACATGGAAACAACTTAAGTGTTCATTGATGGATGAATGGGTAAAGAAGATGTGGTCTATATACACAATGGAATATTGTTTGGCCATAAAAAATGAGGAACTCCTACCACTTGCAACACCGTGGATGGAACTTGAAGGACTTATGCTAAGTAAGATAAGTCAGAGAGAGAAAGACAAATACCGCATGATCTCACTTATACGTGGAATAAGAAATCAGTTTTGTGGTTACCAGAGGCGGGGTTGTGGGGGGAGTTGGAGGAAGGTGGTCAAAAAGTATGAACTTCCAGTCCAATTATAAGTTAAATAAGTACTGGGGATGTAACATACAACATGGTGATGTCAGGCCAGGACAAATTCCCAACTCTCCCGCCCCCAGGTTCTTTTCGCTGGTCTAATAATTAAATTGGCAAAAGACAGATTAATAGGAGAAAAAGAAACAAATTTTATTCGTATATACAAAGGCCTCAATAGATATTGGAACCTGAAGAAATGACCAAAGCAAGCAGCTTTTATACATTTGAGACAGTAGCGTATAATAATATGTAGTAAGTTATAACAAGAAACAATAAATTTGTGAGAAATTGACAGGACAAAGAAACTTAAGCTCAGGTTCCTAATTAGCAAAGAATTGAAGCAGAGTTTGGGCTTGGGGTAGTAAATTAGTAAAAAAAGTACAAGATTTGTTTATACAGGCTTCTCAGCCCTGAATTCCCCAGCTCTGGTGATAAGGATGTCTCTATCTCCTGGTGTGGGGAGGGTAGCTTTCACGTGGGCGATTTATTTCCTGCTTTCAGAGAGAAGAGAGAGAGAAGGGTCAGAGTGTCCTTTTTGAGTCAGCTCTTTTCTCAAGTAACTTTAACTCAAAATAACCAATATGCCATTGTGTGATATTTGGGGGCGAACTAAGGCCCAACAATGACTATAGTTGACACTACTTGTATAATATATGGGAAACTTGTTAAGAGAGTAGATCCTAAGAGATCTCATCACAAGAAGAAATTTTTTTTTTTCTTTTTCTTGTTTCTCTACTGGATACATGCTCTGAGGGGTGTTAGCTGAACCTATTGTGCCAATCATTGCACAATATATATAAATCAAAGCATCATGCTGCACACCTTGTACTTATACAGTGATATGTATGAATTATTTCTCAAAAAACTAGAGGTAAAAAAAGAGGCCTTGCAGCTTTCAATATGTTGCTCTTGGAACAATGCAGTCACCAGGACACAGTACGTGGGAGAGTCTGCTCGAAGATGAGAAACCATGTAGAGACAAGCCATCTCAGCTGAGGCCCCCCAACCAGCCAACCTGGCCAGAACTACCCAGGTGAACCTTGTCCAAACCGCCAAACTGCAGAGTCAAGAGCTGAAAAATGGTTGTTATTTTAAGCCACTAAGTTATGTGGTAATTTGTTCTGCTGCAAAAGGTAATTGGTACAAGAAGTGACCATCTGAACAGTTTCTGGCAATGGCAGGCTATAAGGACACAGGAACACGTGTAAACCCATGGAATAATGAAATGATAGTGGAAGGAAGTAGAAGTGGGAGCCTAACAGGACCCGGGGGTAGGGAGTATTGTATGACCGTCATAAAGGAAATTGGGGAGAGCAGAGGCAGAACAAAGTAAGGAAGAGGTTTTGACTTTGTACAAATATGTAAATTCAAGCCTGCATCCTTAAGTGCTTCTCAGGCACACTGCCTACCCACCCATGTGTTTGCCGTCAGTGTAAGCACATTCTTACTGCCTTACCTTCTCTAGCTGGTAACAATGCTGAGTGGATGGGTCTCTGGTTTGGGAATCGGCAGACAGAATTCTCATGGTGATGTGACAGTATTTGTAGGTTGACTTGGCTCCAAGCAGGAGGAAGAGAGGGGCTGTCAACATCTTGGTGAGACAAGAGCAGGTTGGAGGCAGTCTCTGCTGACACCCTGGTAACTGAGGTCAGCTGGCCTGGAAATCCACACTCACCACTGCCAAGTACAGAGGACAACTGAAGAGATGGCTCTCCCAGCAAAAGGAGGCAGATCCAGGCCAGTATATGCTTAGTCTGTCACAGTGGCAGGTCTGGCACTGGGTTAAGGGAGGAAGAGACTGAGTATTTGGTAGAAATTTTTTGAATATTTTCAATGAGTGGAACAAGATGGGCGATAAGGGAAGAATTAAGAGGTAAATCTCAGATGGTAGGCCTTCAGGAGAAAGAGTTTGACTACGCAATTGGCTCAAATGGAAGAAAAAGATCTCTGTGAGTGGCAAGATTTATAAGGCTACAAACACTGCCATTCATGTAACCGGTTGTTTGTACGTAAATTGGTTTTCTCTTTCTCTATCTGGAAGCTTTTGGGATCTTCTCTTTATCCCTCAGGTTTTGAAATTTCACAGTGATGGGGCTTTACAGGGGACGTGTTTTCCATTCATTGAGCTGGGCAATCAGTCCAACCTTTATTTTGGGAAATTTTCTTCGATTGTCACTTTGATAAATTTCTGCCCACTACTTTTTCTGTTCTCTATTCTCTCTCCGGAATTGCCATTATTTAGATGTTGAGCCTCCTGTATTTTTCCTTTCTTATTGTACATCTCTGCCTTTTTGTTTTACTTTCTTGGTGATTTCCCTAATTTTTTTCTGAGTTCTTCTGACTTCCTTTTTTCTTTTAGGGTATTTTGGGGGTTTTCTTTGTCCTATTCTTTCATGTTGGAGGATTTCCTTGACTTTTGGGTGATTCCTGGCTGACTATATGCTCGGACACGGCTCATCAACCAGTGGGTTTGACTGAAGGGAGATGCCAGCTCTTCCACCAGTTGCTGCAAATGTCAGGATCTGGAGGTCTTTATTCTGGAATGGTTTGTTTTTCTAGGAAAAGATCTCTAACCTTTCTGTTCCCAGTGTTTTATAGCAGGGAGTAGAGAAGGTGGGAAAGGGAGGAAGGCTGAGGCTGTTAATCTTCAATATGCCAACTTTTAGTAATCCTCATGTTTTGAAATTTTGAAAACTGCTGGACATATGCCAAAATTTTTACAAACTTCTGTCTTCCTTCCACTTGCTGCCTTCCTCTTCTTGACCAGGTGATCTTGAGCCCAGAAAGCCCCTGCTTCAGTTTTCTCTCACTGAAGGTTTGAGGAATGAGTGTGTAGATGTGGGATATGACTGTCTCTTTTACAGACTTTCAAACAATCCTTCTTTCAGTTGCTTCCCAGCAGGGCCTCTCTCTGCATGTGCTCTTATGTCACTGGTCGTTCCTCCTTCTGCTATCCATCTTTCTATACTATGGTTTATTGTTTCAGATGTCTCTTATTAAGTGACAGCAAAGTTGGAGTCTGTGTTTCTTATTCTTTCTGTTGCTTTGGGGTGATTATTTAGAAGAGAAACATATAGAAATATCCCACCATCTTAAAATTAGAAGTCCTTAACCTCTACTTACGGACCCATTTACAATAGTCTATTTCTTACCCCCATCCATGGGAGAGGGAGAAATTAGCACCCCTACATTTCCTCTTACTTCTTCTTCCTCCTGCTCCCACTTTCAATTTCTATCAGCTATATCACCAATTTAAATTTTTTAAGGTTTAGATTTAAACATACTTTGTCTATCGGTAGATTCTGAAAACTGAAAACAGAACACATCATTCACAATACACAAATACATGAACATTAGTCACTGAAGAATCAAGTAATGCAATTTGATTCATTGAAAAAGGAAATACAATTCCTCTGTCAGTACACTTCTGCAGCTTTCAGGAGAATGTGAAGGGTCTAGTTTTCTTACACTCTGTGAGCTGCTCAAAACACTACATTTTAGTTTGACTCAGATTGGGACCAACACTTTCTTATAAGCTTTATGTGTTTCTTAGACCGTCTACAGTTGAGTTTACTGGAGGAGAAGAGGGAGCCTCTATTCTTTTAAGGTAATCTTTGCTAGAATACGGGAATTAAAATATTAATAACCTTAAAAAGTTCTCAAGAATTTTCTATTTGCCTATCTCGCTTCTTATTGAAGTTAGATAACTCTCTGGGTAGAAATTTGACCTTATATTCTCAACCTAATACCCATATCTGTTTTTGACTCTAGGAAATATAAACTGTCAAGTTCAGATCTCCTTAAAACTTCAGGAAGAGTGCTGTAAGGCAGAATGTCTCTGAGAATCAATCTCTTTTTTGATATTAAGCATGCAAAATATTGAAAAACATAAAAGGGATAGTGTTAGGACAAGCTCCAGGAATGTATTTTTCTGTGGGCATATCTCTTGTACATATATCACAGAAATTGCCCTAAGACATTGTCAGTAACTTTTTAATGTCAACTCAATTGGTACTAATCTTTAGAGAAGTTTAACTAGAAGGCTTAAGTAACGCTTCAACTGTTATTGTGATTAAGGGGCAGGGGGGAAAATATATATAGTAGGCTCTATATATATATATATATATAGCCTATGATATACCATGCACCGTCCTGGCTTTTATATGTGAATATTATTTAATATAACATATATTATTACATATTATTAATTATATTACATTGATTAATATATTATTATACAATATAATTATTATATATAACATATATATATTTATTACACAATATATTTCTTTAAGGCCAGAAGAGTTTATCCACCTTGCCTAGGAGTTGAGATTGACTTCTCTGCTTCCCTCTGTAGTGATCATGACATCTGACCCTCATCCTGGTATGAGCCACATTATGAACCCTGCTGCCCATCATGTCGCCCCACAGCCTCCTGCTGCTGTTAGCATTGATTCTTCCTTCCATCTTCTCTCTCAGCTTGGATTTTTAGACCCTGAAATCTGCCTTAATTCATCTCTCTTGAAAACTTCTGTTGCTGCTCTTGGATCTGGTAATATTTTTTGTCAGCTTTCCTCTTGAATAAGTGAATGTTTTCTAAGGAGTCCAAATTCCTCTGACTTGAATCTCAGAATATCAGAGCCAGAAGGAACCTCAAAGTCAGCTGGACCAATGGTTCCAGCCTGCGGCATTTGGATTCTCAGAGACTTTGGAGTTATTGTGAGTCTTAGAACACATATACACTTATAGTTCTTTCTTTTCCTTCACTGGGCAGCAAAATTGACATGATTAGTATGTGGTATCCATAACTTTTTGAACTTAAGAAGAGTTTTCATGCTCTAAAAATCTGAGAACCACTGATTCACACCAGCTGCCTCATTTTACAAATGAAAAAATGAAGCCCAGAAAATGATTTGATTTTCCCAAGGTCGTAGAGTAAATTAAGATCAGGTCAGGACCTGGGTATAATCTTTGGATTGTCAACCATCAACCCATTGCTCTTTCCAGTATCCCAGCCCCCAAAATATCATAGTCCTCACAATTACATAGCAGCTCCCGCAGACACTACTGCAAAGGGGATTAAAGGATCCCCAACTGGCTCAGGCTGAAAGTGAGGGAGTGACTTCTCCCTCTACAGCAAACGTTAAGCTTTTTTGAAAAGTATTGCCAGGATATAATAAACAAATAAATGTCCCTAGAGAGTGCACTAATAATTAGATAAAGTTGCCCCATCTTTTTTCAGACAATTGTAACTTGCCCACTGCCCCTGGCATGGGTGAGTGAGGAGTCCTAGATCCCAGAAGGTCACTAATTAAGTTCAGGGAAGCATCCCACCTATAGGCTTTCCCGAAGTCTACGGCATAGCTCTGGAAGGGAGTGTCAGGACCAAATTTCTTGCTCAGGGATTTTGAAATTAGAACCCTGAGAGACGGGGTCAGCTGGAGGAGGAGGCTGGGCAGGACAATAATGATGAAATGTTGGGTCTAGTGGACATTTAGAGCCACAAGCCCATAGAGAAAAAGAAGAAGAATGAGATGGGGTGAGGGAGAGCGAGTGTGCACGTGAGGGGCCACGTGGCTACAGAGAGAAAGGGACACAGAGAAAGAGAAGGAAAGAGGAAGACCTGGAGAGAGCTCCTTAGATTGAACCTTTCTAGTTCCCAGTTCCTGTCACAGAAGGCCCAGATTCCCTAGGATTCCAGAAGCTCTGGATCTTAAAATAAGTTCTTTTGGGGCCGGCCCGGTGGCGCAGAGGTTAAGTGCGCACATTCAGCTTCGGTGGCCCCAGGTTCACTGGTTCAGATCCCGGCTGCGGACATGGCACCGCTTGGCAAGCCATGCTGTGGTAGGCGTCCCACATATAAAGTAGAGGGAGATGGGCATGGATGTTAGCTCGGGGCCAGTCTTCCTCAAAAAAATATATAAATAAATAAAATAAGTTCTTTCTACTTAGGCTGATTTGAGTAAGATTTGCTCGCTGAATGAACAGCCAGCTCCGGAGGAATAAATTCAGATCTCATGCATAAACTCAGAGTTCTCACAGCCCAAGATTCGATGGTGACCCAAGACTCCCTCACAGCTGAGGCTGCCTCATCGAGAAAATGAAGGACGAGAGCACTTCAGCTGCCACCAGCACAGCCCCAACACTCTGCAGTGCTGATGACGGGCACTGGTTGAGCAACCGAAATCATCCATTACAAAGGTCTCAGGACACAGCTGTGACATGCGACTCCACAGAGACCTCATGTTAATCCCGGATATTTCTGAATTTCATTCCTGTTCAGAAGGAGCCTGTCTCTAAGTACTTGAGAATAGGAAAGAAGCTTCTATGTCATCACTCTGGCATCTTTCATTTCAGTAAAAAAAAGAAAATTGATTTTGAGATTTCTGTTCTATATGGCACTTAATGTGAAATATCTAGTTCTAAAGTGATTTAGAAAAAGAAAAAAGTGCACTGTGGTGTTAAAATCTATTTATCTTCTTTTATTCTCAAGGGCAAGAAATGAAAATAATAACAGATAACAGTAGATTTTCAGTGTGGTGACAGAAAGAGGTTATCAGGAAAATCCCAGGGTGAAAATAAAGTAGAAAAGCAAGAATACAGTTTGAGAAAGATGTGGAAGAAAGATATGAAGCTAGAAAGGAAAATAAGAGATTGTCAGTGACAGCCAAGATTCTTAAAAGATAGAAGAGTTCTTACTGATTCATCTGTAAGTAGAGGTAACAGAGGAAAAAAAAAACAAGAGATGAACACCATGATGCTAGGATCGGAAATCTCAGGGGTATGGTGTTGTCGTTAAATTCTGCCTTTGGCTAAAAAAAAAAAATCAGAAAAAGAGATTTAGGGAAATACGCATGGGAAATTGTGTGAAATGAGTTGTTGATAAAGTAAAAGAAAGTATACAAGAAACACGGAAATATCTTTAAGCCGCTGCCTCTCCAACATCCATTCTAAGTTGTTAAGAGAATGAGTTAATGGATTTAGAGAAGTTCTGATCATTATATTCGGGGGGCACTTTGGATGCAGTATTTCAGAAAGCTGTCAAAATAAGTACATCTCTTCAAGATATTAGAGGAAAAAACAAGAAAAAACAAGCACACATGGACCTAATTTTCTTCTTTTTTGCTCTCCTTCCTAAGAAAGGCCTTCCTGGAGGGTGTTGTGCTGAGTGAAATAAGCCACAGAGGCATATTCATGATGACAGTTTAAAAATCTTTGTCGGGTCATTCCGACATCTCTGTCATCTTGGTGCTGGTATCTGTTGATTGTCTGTTTTCACTTAGTTTATCTTCCTTGTTCTTGATGTAATGAGCAATTATTTTTTTACTGAATTCTGGGCATCTGGGGCATTATGTTGTGAGACTCTGGGTCTTATTTAAGCCCTCATTTTTTCTGGTTTCCTCTGACATTACTTGAGCAGGGGAAGAAGAGGGGACCCGCCACCACTGCCAGGTGAGAGTAAGTTTCCACTTGCCCTTTGTTGACATAGAGGTGGGGTTCCTCTTTACTGCTTGATGTGGGTGGGAGTTCTGGCTCCCTACTAGGTCTCTGCTGATACCTACCTGGCTGGGCAGCATCCAGATGCCTCACTACTCTCCTCACATGGCCTCCGCTGACATCATGGTGGGGCTGTGCGGGGACCTCCGTGCTGCTGGGCAGTGGTGAAAGTTCTGACTGTCCATTAGGCTTCTTTAGACACCATCCCAGTGAGGATGGGGAGGGCGCCTGACTGCCGCCAAATGGAGATGGAAGTCCAGGCTCCCAGTTGATCTCCACTGACAGCATGAGGAGGCCTCATTAGCTCCAGGGGATGAAAGTCCTGGCTCTCTACTCAGCCCTTTCTGACAACACCCTGGCAGAGAGGTTTGGGCTCCTTGTTAAAACTCCACAGAAATGGAAGTCCAGGCTCCCCACTCAGCCTTACTGGAATGGGTGGGAGAGGGGTCATAGATTTTTCTGTAGTGTTTGGCTGGAGTAGACCAGTTATTATCTAAATGTTTCCTATCTTGCGAGGTTGCTCCTTTTCCTAGAGAGAGTGGGCTTCTGTTGGGGCTTTTTCTTTCTAGAGTCATTGGCATTTCCAGGCTGCCAGCTCCTTCAGCTCCAAGTCTGGGAAATATAAGGCAAAAAAGAAGACCCAGGGAACTCACCACCATACTGTTCCTTGGATTCCGAGGTCCCTAGTTGGTCTGCCTTCTTCTCTCCACATTTCAGAGTCTTCTTGTGTTTGTTTCTGTGGACTGTCCAGGGTTTTCAGTTGTCTTTAGCAGGAGGACCAGGAAAAGGTACAGCTGTTCCACTTCCCACATATGGAATCTTTCCAGATCATTCACATACAGATAACAACAGTACCTGCCTCCTAGAGACCTCAAAGGGTTATTGTGAGGATTAAATGAGTTAATTGGACCTTTGGAGCAGTGGCTGGCACATGGTAAGCCTTATATAAGTGTTATCTCTTCTTGTTATTAGATAAACAGTATAATGGGGTTGTTAAGGGAACAGAGTCTGGGCCCAGACTACCAGGATTTAAATCCTAGCTCTTACCCTTAATAGATGTGTTAGTCTTTGGGAAATTAACTGAATCTCTCTGTGTCTAAACATTCCCACTGTAAATGGCAATAATAATAGTTTCTTCTTCACAAAGTTATTGTGTGAACTGAAAGAGTTAATATATCTCTAAAGCTCTTAGATGATTGCCTTGCACAAAGTGAGCTCTATTTAAGTATTAGATATTATTCTTTTAAGCTAAAGTACTTCATTTTCTCCTCAAAGCACCCTCTAAAATAAGTGGTAAAGCATCACTATCTCCATGTATAAATGAAGAAACAGAAGAGGTTCTGAGGCATGCAATGACCTGCCCGAGGTCACAGAGCCAGTATGTGGCAGAGCCAGCTTGAGCCACAGATCCTCTGACTGCAAGTCTAGGGCTCACGGCATCATGTAAGCCCTGAATTGAGGCTTGGTTAGGAGTGCAAGATGAAAACCAGGATTCATGCTTAGAGAACAGGGCAAGCAGACAGCTGCCGAAATCACACGTGGGTGGGCAAGGCAGCATGAAGATAGGAACAAAGTGGAAAGAAGGCCAGGCGGGAGTCTGGTTGTTGGGCTAAGTCCATATCAGGAAATTGGTGTTGAAGAGACCACCAAGATGATTTCCAGTGAGAGATTTCTACCCCTCCAGAAGGTGTGCCATCAACGTCTCCTGTTCACAGGGCAGTGACGGGTTTCCTTAGAGCTCAGCACTCCCACTCCAAGGCAGCTTATGCTCTTCAGAGAGACTCCAGCTCCAAGAAAGCAGGGGCTGTGCCTTCTTCAGTTCCGAAGCTCCTCAAGTCTGACTCGTGAAATGGGGTCCTTCCTCAAGGGATTCCCGCTGCCGCCCCTGCCCAGCCTGCCGTCTACATACTTCGGAGCCTGTCCAAGTCCAGCTTGTGCCTCAGGGCTCATACCGAGTGCCACCAAGCCTTCCTGGAGACACCAGCCCACACTGAGCTCGCCCCTTCCTAAACCCTTAGCGTTAACTATCTCTGCCATATGTTTTGGAATGTGTTTATTTAAGCATCATATAATATCTAGTCCTATATTTTTCCTGATATTTCATATGTCCAAGTCTTGTGTAACCAGCAAGACCATGGGTCTTGGGGGCAGTGGTTGCATCATACAAGTTTTGATGAGGTTTGGCCTCCCAGCATTTGACATGGAACACAGTACTGGGTAGTGAGTCAATTAATACTTGTTAACTCTGAAAGCAAAGGTCTCAGACAAGCAGAGGTGCCCCCATGTGGAGTACATGGAGCCCCAGGCAAAATTCTCTTTTTGCAAGGCCCTAACTAAACACTTTGATTAAAAAATGTTTTACAAAATGTGTGGGCCCCTGGAAAGTATAGTGATTTATTGCTGAAGGTGTAGAATAATGTGTAGGAAGAGCTGGAAGAGGTACTTTGATATGTATTTATTGTCCAATCAGGGCAGATGTCCAGAGACCATCTTTTCTGTTTGGGTCCAGGAATCATCTCTTCATGTTCTTTATTGTCAAATGTGCCATTCCTGGAGAATTTCACATCTTCCACCTCCAAAAACAGGGTGCAATGCTGTCATTACTCACAATGTCAGGACTTTTTGGAGCTTGCTTATATTGCAACTATACAGATCTCATCTCTGCACGTATTTAATGTTACTTATACCATGTATGCATAACAGTGGGTCATCCATTGTGCGGCCTGTGAGTACTGCTTTCCAACGACCCTGTCAAAGGTAGCTGCTGTGGTTCATTGATAATGACTATAAATGCAAGTCTCATCCAGAGAATGCTGGAAAATGTGAACAATAATCCATTTTGCGGTCATATAAAGTCTACAGTTTGGAATTTTATAACATAAAGATAGAACACCGTGTCTTCCAACTCTGTCTTCTCTTGAACTCTTCAGGCGGAAGTCACTGCATCCTTAGAAGGTGATTTCTTTCCCTGTTGACCACACCCCTGCCTTCCATACATCCCACCAGCCAGGAGGGTAGGCGAGGGGCCTGTGGGCAGAGTAAGTAAAGCAGTCACATTCTGCAAGAAATGTTCGTCCCTCGCCCCAGGAGAGCATGAGGCCACCAAATCCACTGGAGGCAAAAGAGGACCCTGAGCAGAAGGGCCCATCTGCATTCTAAAGCAATGGTCTAGAAAGCCCTTGGAGGAGATAGGCTTGGCCACCTCAGAGGACTGCCCGACATGGGTAGGGAAAGGAACTTATGGAGGGGTGGGGTAACCCTGTGTGCCAGCAGTAGAGTACACAGGTAAAGGACACCTGCAGCCTCCCTCCTGCCCTTGGGTGTTGTGGCCCTAGGAGGCCACGGATGGAACGGGCAGGCAAGAGCCGATGCTGAAGAGCTCAAGTCCAAAGCTGGGTGGGATTGGTCCTGGTAACCCTGAGTCCTGAACGTCTCCTGTGACCACCATGAGTGAGTCACCTCAAATCAGAGTGTCAGCACATTTTGGGGGGCTCAATCTCATGAGAGAAATACTGCAACAGCCAGCGGAAATGACCAGCTCATGAGCCCACCCTCCTGGAAGCCCCATAGGTGGGGATTATGATCCCAGGAGCATGAGTCTCGGAGTTCCTTGGGGCAGGTGGTGACCCCACACACAGGATCAAGGGTCAAAGAGTGTCCTGAAGGATGGAAATAAGGACCAAACTCCCAGGAATCCATCCAGGTTTGGGGTGTCCCACCCAGGTGGCATTGCCAGGCACCCCAGGGAACTTCAAAAATTTTGAAGAAAGCACTGGGCCCAGGGCAGCAGCCTACTGTCCCAGGTCTAAGGCTGTTACTGCAGCCAAGCCTTTCTGCGCTCCTGGTAATCCCCAAGACCAGACCAGCCCGTGTGGCTATGGGGATTGCCAATGTGCTGGGCTACCATGTAGGGAGCATCGGGCATTTTCAGGAATTTGTACTCTGGTCTCATTTCGGCACAAAGTGCTGGTGCCCTTTTTTCTTTTGGGGGCCTCACTACATTGAGTACATTCTCTCAGATAAATTTCTGGTCTCACCTTGTTAATTCTTTGAAAAGAACAATTATGAACTGACTCACAGGACAGTATTCCTGTTTTTTCTCGTGTTAATAAGTATCAGATGGCAGTGAATTTTTCTATCTTTCCTGTGGCAGCTTCCCATTACACCTGTGCAGCTTCCCATTACACCTGTGACAGCTTCCCATTACACCTGGCATTTTGAGCCACACACATGTGCAGGATTTTGCAAAATCTGAGTAGAGAAGAGGCTAGAAGATGAGGTGAGAGAGACGTTTTATGAAAATAAAAATTCATAAAAATATCACCAAAAATATCCCACTAAATTATATCACTGATAGCATCCGTTAAAATATCTCATTAAAAATATCATTGATCAGATCCATTATTTTGTTATTTAAAAAGTTGTTAAATCTTTGGTCAGCAGTTACTCTGTGTCACCATCACATTCGTTGCTCAGATTTCTTAGTTCCTCTCAAAGGAATGTTACCAAATATGTGAATTTCTGGCTACCGTGAAATCAGATAAAGCGATGGGTATTTTGATAAGTATAGAACATGGAATTCGTTTGTAGCTTAAAACAATCTCTCAAGGCGTTGGTTGGCCACTAAGTAGCATGTATTCATATTTGCCTTTGTTTCCTTTCTAATAGTGCTGGGGCTTCTGCCACTTTAGAAAACAGAATTTCTAACTCTCATGGCAGTTCAGGCACAGTTTCTAATAATCTAACCTCACGATACACACAAATGACTTATATTAATGCCATAGAAATAAACTATTATATTCTAGTGCTTATGTGAGCCCCAAGCTGTGCTAGGTAGTTCTCTCCTATTATTGTGTTTAATGGATTGAGCAACTAACATTTATTCAATGTTTGGCATTTCTTTTAAATGCCGTCTAGCATAGTACAATGGTTCCTGAATGTCAGTGGATATAGGAATCATCAGGAAAGGACTTATTAAAACACAGGTTCCTGGGGATCGTCCCCGTGGCCAAGTGGTTAAGTTCTCGCGCTCCGCTTCAGTGGCCCAGAGTCTCGCTGGTTCGGATCCTGGGCGTGGACATGGCATCGCTCGTCAGGCCACGCTGAGGCGGCGTCCCAGATACATAGCACAGTCAGAGGCGCTCACAACTAGAATATACAACTATGTACTGGGGGGATTTGGGGAGAAAAAGCAGAAAAAGAAAAAAGAGAAGATTGGTGCCAATCTTGAAAAAAAAAAGAAATTTAAAACACAGCTTCCTGGATCCCATCCCCAGGGTTTCTGATTCAGCAGGTAGGGGGTGAAGCTTGAGAATCTGCATTCCTAACATGTTCCCAGGTTATGCTGGTGCTGCCGGTCCAGGGACCACACTGTGAGAATCACTGGCATAGGAGTTAAAAGCAGTGACTTTGCTATCAGACTGATCTGGTTTTGAGTCTTTTGGTTTAACTTTCCTCATCTATAAAATTATACCTCCATCATTAGGTTATTTTGGAGATTAAATATGATATATGTGAAGTGCTTAACATGGTATCTTGCATGCGTTATAACTCAGTAAATGTTAACTGCCACCATAGTAGCATTTGCTACAGTACTACTCTTACTACTAAGTAAACTTAGAAAATGACTTTGATTTCAAAATCAGTTTTAGATTGTCAGTGCTCTCTCTTCTCTTTACCTAGAGCTGAGCTCCAATGTCTCGCATGCTATGACATCATAATGAGATTGATAACCAAGACTCTGAGGAATGGCATATTGGATTTTTCATATTATCATAGAGATTCTCCATCATAACTAAGAAAAATATATAAAACAAATGCCATTTTTTAATAACCCTGAAAAAACCTCTAGGAAAAAGAGCTGCAATTAAGTTAGTCTATTAGCTTTACCAAACCTTATTGAATATGTTATTATTAGCTGTCTAAAATGATACATCTATTTGTGGTTAAACACACACAAGTAAAAAGCCAAGAACCTTCATGAAAGGTTGCTTAATCTTGATCAATACTTTAGAAGAGTCAGCATATACTTTGGCCACAGAAAATTCTAGTAACTTATTCGTAACTTATGTGAAATTATCCTGCTACTAATCTGCACAATTCTAGAGTCCCAGAAATGGTAGAATATATAAGTTTTGATGAATAAATGAAGAGCAATAGGATATACTGGAGTATATGAGGAAGCCATATGGTTTAAAATTAATTCAGCCTGAACTTGTTATTCCAGAAAGCCCTGATGTGGCCTCTTGAACATGCATTGTACATCTGCTTTAAGCATTTACAATGTCCCAAAGACAAGAATTATGCCCTTAAAGGTAGAGATTCAGCTTCCCCCTAGATTAGCATTTCTTTAAGAATAAGTATCTCTTCCTGGAAACTAAGGATTAATTACAGATCTGCTGTTCTCACCTTGTGACCACTGACCTGCTATGCTAGCTAAGCATCTAGTGACAGTAGTAAAAGAGATATTCCTGGCATATGTGATGTACGTTCTTTGTTCCAAGATAGTATATAACCACTCTGTACACTCCACTTCTCTGGTGTATGTCTTTCCTTGGGGAAGGAAGCCCCCAAGCTATAGTCCTCAGACCTGGCTCATGATAAACTCACCCAATTTTGATTTATAGATTGATTATGGATTATTTGCATCAACATTTGGAAACATATTCATCATCCATTAATCAAATTCTGACCCAGGATTCCCATCAGCTATATGATTCTGGGTACCGAGAGGCTCATCCTGGGCTCTTTCCGTCACCTGCATCTACATTCTTTTCTATTTTTATGGAGAGCCACTAAGAAATACAACAGATAAGCTAACATCAAAGATTTCATCCAAATTATCTAAAATAAGTATGGCAACATTCACATTAAAGAAATGTCATATTCTGTGTTGGTTTTGAGTGCTCTGATATTCACAGTGAGATAAAAAATTAATAAATGTCACTTGGCTTCTTTGGTATTATGGTCTCTTGGGCATATAAGTAGAAGCAACATTTATTATCTAATACTGTCGCCCAGGATGGGCAAACCACAGCCCTCTCCCCTGGCTCCCCATTTTGTAAATAAAGTTTTATTGACACACAGCCACATTCGT